GAGTCAATCTTTAATTACTTGGTCACATTCTATTTCCTCACAGGACTTCAGCTTCACTTATGCAGAGGACAGATGGAGTTCTGTTAATGGTTAGCTATTCAACAGATATAATTTACCCTCAGCACTAAATCTGTGGCTACATGTCTTAGGCTACGTTTACACTGCACACTTATTTTGGAATAACGTGTTCCAGAAGAAATACTCCAAAATAGCTTATTTCAAAATAGCGCATCTACACCACAAGGAAGCCTGGAAATTAGTCCAAGACATGCTACCTCGATTTAGAGCCCCAGGAAGCACTGGGGAGTAATTACTCTGAATGGCCTGGGGAGGAGCTATTTTGAAATAGCAGCAATGGAGCATCCACACTATTGCTATTCCGAAATAGCTATTTCGGAAGAGGAATTATTCCTCGTAGAATGAGGTTTACAAAGGCCAAAGTAAGCTGCCCATTATTTTGAAATTATTTCAAAGTAACAGGCTAGCTGTGTAGACACTCACATAGTTATTTCAGAATAACAGACGTTATTCCAAAATAACGCTGCTGTGTAGATGTACCCTTATTTACCATATACCACCCAAATCTTGAACTCATTTTCATTGGACAGCAAAAAGAACCTTTCTGACCCCTGTATGACTCTCCTGTGAAATTTCAAGCACATGCTCAAAAGCAGGCAGGCACCAGAACTTTTCAGAAACAAAAACAAAAACAACCTGCTGTAACAATTTGTTCTATCTTCGCCAAACAAAATATTTTCTCCTTAAACTTGGTTCCTGGTTTTGAACTGTTTTTCTTGAAAACTTTCCAAAAAATTTCAGCTGGGAGGAAACATTTAGTACAGAAAGCTTCATCCAGAATGGCTAAAGTTAGGTAAAGTTACAAACAACTGTAGATGACCTCAAATGTCAAGCGTTCTCAACAGGTGTGACTACCAGGTCCATTGAAAATGTCAGCACATTGATCTTGATGTAAGATGTACAGAATTTTAAAAAATTGAGGAAAGTTTCTAAAGAGCAAAGTACAGATTTTTGGAGAAAAGCCATTCTGTACCATAGCTACAGATTTTTTGATGGTCTCCTCCAGTTAATGGCAAGCAAGTATCTATAGAATCAAAAACAAACCCATAATTTGTCATCTTTGTTGAGTCCTAGCAGAAAGGCCGAGAAATGAATAGCTATGAACACTGAGGGCAGGTCTAGATTATGGGGCAACATCAATCTGATTTACTCAACTCCAGCTATGTGACTACTGAATCAACATACCTTTGGTTGAATTGCTGCAGGGTCTCCACTCCCTTACTCTTCTCTTTAAAGTGGAATTCCGCAGTCAACAAGAGAGCAATCAGTGGTTGATGTATTGGGTCTTCATTAGACCCCCTATATCGACCGCCAAGGGATCAATCACCACAATGCTGATCTCCCAGTAAATATAGCCACACTGTCAATGAACTACTCTCTCTCTCCCCTAGGCCAGAATTGAGACATTAAACTGCAAGCCGCTGGAGTATGGTCATCTCCCATGCCAATGGTCACTAACTGGTCAATCGTGATTGACTGGTAGATCCTAGGGAGTCTCCAGTTGATTGCAATCTACGATGGTGGAGCTAGATTACTAATAAGGCAGGCTTCTTTCCTGCACATGCTGCTGGCCTGTTCCCAGAAGTATCCAATGCAGCCCCTCATATGTGCATGCACAGCATGTCTTGGCACTCATCCTGCCTGCAAGAACTACTTCTTGCAGCATCCATCAGCCAGAAACAGGAAATTGTGGCCAATGGGAGGCGAGAGGATGTTGTATGCAGAAAGGGGCAGCACACAGTATCATGTGCTCCCTGCTCCCCTCCTCTAGAGGACACAGAGGCACATTATACCAGGAAAAGGCTGGACACAGAAAGTAATAGCACAGGGAGTGCTGCAGAACCCCCATGTTTGGCATCTCAAGTCCCAGCTCTGCATCTTGGCCACCCAGTGTCCCAGCCACCAGGCCAGCTGCTGTCTAGTGGCTTCTCTGTGGGCCTGGGATCCCACTTGGCTACAGGCCCCAGGGCTCCACTGCTGGCCCCAGGGTCATGACCGCTGGTCCTGCATGCAGGAGCCCTGCCCACTGGTCCTGTTGCCGGCCCAGGAGCTCCACTACTGGTGTAGCAGTGTATGTCGCCATACAAGCCTAGGATCCCACCCAGCTGCTGGTCCGACAGTCCTGTCCAGCCACACACCCAGGGGCTCCACTGCCAGCACTGGGATCCTACCTGGCTGCCGGCCCAGGTCTAGAGCATGGTGAGGGATGCAGTTAAGCACCCCCACTCAAAACCTATTCCAGTTCCACTGATTGTGGGAGCAGCATGGGCCTGGGATAGTCAGTGAACCTTCTTTAGTCTCACTGAGTTGGCAACTGGGTGCTGCCTGGTAGGAGGCCACAACCCAACCCTCAGCCCTCCTCCAGACTGACAGAAACCCCATAGCCCCTCCCTTACCTCCCCCCCACTTGGCCCCTGTCCAGAGCCCCCTCCTGCACTCAATTACCCACTCCTGTACCCCAAGTCCCCTCTTTTCCAGGCTAGAGCCTGCAATCCCTCCCAAACCCCAATCTGGTAAAAGTGAGTGAGAGTGGGGAAAAAGCAAGCATTAGAAAAATGGAGAATGGTTAGGGCTTGGAGAAGGGGCAGGGTATATCCAGGTTACCCTTCATCCCCCCCAAAAATTATCTTTGGCTTCCAAAGGTTGGAGACTACTGCCCCATGCTGTATCTACTTTGTATGTCAGGCATCTCCTGATCCCTTGGAAATCCTATCCCCAAACCTCACTGTCAATTCGAACAAGTGTCAGAGTCCTTAGCACAAAGGCTATTTCCTAGTGGTCGTCTCTATTCACAGAATCTATTGGGTTGTGGAGGGGGAGAAGGGAAAAGGGAGAAAAAGACAGAAAAGAAAAGGAATTTGGAAAGATGGGTTCTTGAAGAAATATACCAGCTTTTGGTAGCTTTCCCCAGCCTCCAACAGAAGAGATTATGTCTCAAGAAAACTTGAGTTAGGAAAATGGAACTATTTTCTGCTGCATGGACTAGAATTTGGCTTCATATTGTCTGATCTACTCTGTCCCACACCCAGCATTTGAAATGTTTGTTCAGCCATTCGCTAGCACAGAGTTCCTACCGAGCCTCAACGAACACATTACTAGTCACCACTCGAAAGTGCCCTAGTACCTCAACAAGCATGCAGGAAAAAAGCCTCTTTATCCGGAAACAACGGATAAAGGGGAAGGGGGAAATAAAGCCTCTGGGGGGCACTCACCCGAAACGCTGGAGAGATTTCTTTTAAGGAGCGCATCGCACGTTTCCCATAATCCGAAATATGGCAATAAAACTTGCTGGCAGTAAAACACCACTGGTCACGATCCCAGCTCGGCAATCACCACCGAGCGTGGGTCCTTCCCCTGGCCTTGCATTGATCACCCATCCCCAACTTTTCTCTCTCTTTCCCCGGCGCCACTTTAACAGCTACAGCCTGTTTAAAAGGACAACACTAAATCCAGGCACATAATCCCAATCCCTAATCATGGCTGCACTTGCCAGGCTTTTTAGAGCAGCAACCCCCCCTCCGCCCCATGAACCTCCCCACTCCAGCCCCCGTGCACATTCGCGGGAGGAGGTACAAGCCGGCTCCTCTTACCCCCGCTCGCTCTGCTTAGTAGCAGTAGCAGCAGCAGCTCCATTACCTTTCCCAGGCAAATGTGGCAGGTGATGGGCAGCGTCAGAGACAATGTTACATTCTGAACGTTCTGAGCCATTGTGGCGTTTCGAATCCCGCGAGCGCGGAAGTTCCACCAGCGGTAACAGCAAGCGGCAGCCCTCCACGCTCTACTCTGCGTACGGCAAGCCAAAGAGTCCAATCCTCAACGCAAAATAGGAAACCGAAATCGCGCTTTTGAAATGTTCCCCTGCAGGAGGCCGGGAGGCGGAGTAGGGGACTTGGGCCTTCTGCGCGCACACAGCTGCATGTTGCTGCTGTCCCGAGGGTTAGCTCCCTTCCTGCAGCTTTAAACTAGGGCTGGCATATTGGGCTAGGAAGCTGTAGGCAGGTCCCACCTGTTAACGTAGCAGCATTCACTGATCATTGTTCTCCTTTCCCTTAGGGAGGATCCATTTCTCTTTATTGTTTTTTAAGCATGTTTGCTTTGTCTGTGCAGGAGTCTCTCAGTATCTTGGCCCCCTGGCCAAGGCCTGTATAGAAAGTCAGAGCATTAGACACATTGAGCGAGGCACCAGTCTCTTTCCAATCCCACAGAAGGGTAGTGAGAAGGAGAAGTTTCCGCCCTCCCAAGTACATACCTCATTCCTGGCCCACTCTCAGAACTCTGCTGTGGTGAGCTCTAAAGTGCCTGGTTTTAACCTGTTATTTGAGGTGAGCTGAAGTAATGAACTTTTCCAAACGGTTCCTTCCCCTCATTTCCATAAAACTCAGAAGGTGGAACAACCAAGATCAAGAAGACTATGAAGATTGTAGCCAATGAACAGTGTTGCAATGTAGCACAGGACCCATTTCACCCTATCGTTATTCAATGCTTTTTTGTTATTGCTATTATTAGTGTAATAATAGTATTAAACAACTATTGTTTTGTTTTCGTTATCAATATTAATTGCTCAGGGATTGCTCTGCTTTGTGAAAGGTACAAAAGAGGACATGATCCCTGCCCTGAAGGGTTTACAGTTTAAGGATCTGATCTGACAAATATTACCAAGACTAATCAGTGGGGTAATTTAGAGTTTGTGTACACACAAAAGGTTAGTTAAATTAAACTTGTACAGGTTCTCTTCTTACACTCCTCACCGATCCTTATGTGTGCAATACAGATGCTTTACACCAGTGTAGCTATTAATATAAAGGTTTTTTATGCTGGTATAGCTATTCCCATCAGAAAGGGAAATAAGTTCTACTAGAATATGGCACCTTTGTAATTGCATCCACACTATAATTTGTATTGGTATAGCTTTTTTGATAAAGACACCCCCCCCCCCCAATAGAATACTGGTACAAATATTGTGTGTAGAACAGACCTTAAACTAGTAAACAGTAATGACTACTATATGTGTATGCAAGACTAGACCTTAGAGAAATGAACAGGGCCAGATTCTTGATATCCCCCCCCCCCCCCCCACACACATGTATGTGTTTATTTTGCATTGCTCAGTGGGGTGCTCCCTTGAAAGCTTCTTTAATAGGGAAGTTTCCTGGCCAAAGAGAATCCCCAGGTGTCACAGAGTCAACACAGGTGGTTCTAAACCAGTGGTCACCAGCCAGTAGATCAGGATCTACCAGTAGATCTTGGAGCCTCTGACAAGTGATCCTGACTGATTTGGCTGAGAGGCTATCAAGTGCCTGCCCTTCAGTTGCCCCTCCTCCCACAGTCCAGCTGCTTCTGCCCAGAGCTGCCTCCTGGGAGCCTCCTGCTTGTTGTGCAGATTTAGGGACACAGAGGCAGGGGAGTACTGATGTCACACTGTCCCCCTTCCCTGTACCCTATTTTCACAGAGTGAGGAGGGTGGGACCTCGGTGAAGGGGTGGAGCAGGGGTACCGTACTTGGTTTTGAGGTAGATCCTGGACTAACTTAAATTCAAAAAGTGATCTTGTGCTTAAAAAGATTGGAGACCTCTGTTCTAAACTATCCATTTGGGGTCCACACTCTAATAAAAGATGTGTGCTTCGAAGAGCAGCAGCAATGTGGCCAGGGCTTCATGTGCTCTGGTGATCCTTGGTATCTAAGGGTGTGTATGGGACTGTTAATGCCAGCATACTTCAGGATGCTCTAAATTAAGGTGAAATAATCTTAGGCTCTTCTAAATTCCATTTGGGGATGAATCATCTCTCAGCCAGCTTCTGGATCAGAGGAACAGAAGGGTAGCCTAGAGCAACATTCCTCCTCTGCCAGTTTCTACTTCAAGTGCAGCACAGCTGGACTCAGAGATATTTCCCGCAATCTCCAAAATACAGATTCCCTCCCAGAAAAAGTGTAGGAGCAACTCTGCAAAAGAGGAAGAATGACCTATGAAACAAAATTCAGAACAAAATCTCAACTTCCTCCAGCAGTAGGGTTGCTTGGATTTGGGTTCTTTTTTGGGCCCATTACTAGATATATATGCCAAGCCATAAATTTCATATCTATATGTAAACTTTCCCCAGCTATTGAGAAGTGAGGGTTTTTTTTGGAGTAAGCTTATCTCTAATTATAACTAACTGAGGCAGGTTGCTGTCTTCTAGGAGAATACACTGCTGCTATCCCTGGCATGAACACCCAAGACCTGGGGGGGGAAAGGGAAAGTCTCTGATAATCATCATAATACAGACTATGCCAACCTAAAGATTATTTTTACAATTAAACCAGCTTTAAGTGTAACAGCCAAAATAAGTCTCTGATGGGAAGCTGTGATAGCGTGTATCTTCAAAAACAATGAGGAGTCCTGTGGCACTTTTAAAAACTAAGGGTACGTTTATGCAGCAGCATTATTTTGGAATAACTTATGTTAGAATCATAGAATACTACGACCGGAAGGGACCTCGAAAGGTCATCAAGTCCAGTCCCCTGCCCTCATGGCAGGACCTAGTACTATCTAGACCATCCCTGATAGATATTTATCTAACCTACTCTTAAATATCTCCAGAGATAGAGATTCCACAACCTCCCTAGAAAATTTATTCCAGTGTTTAACCACCCTGACAGTTAAGAACGTTTTGCTAATGTCCAACCTAAACCTCCATTGCTTCTTGTTCTATCCTCAGAGGCCAGGAAGAACAATTTTTCTCCCTTTTCCTTGTGACACCCTTTTAGATACCTGAAAACTGCTATCATGTTCTCTCTCAATCTTCTCTTTTCCAAACTAAACAAGCCCAGTTCTTTCAGTCTTCCTTCATAGGTCATGTTCTCTAGACCTTTACTTATTCTGGTTGCTCTTCTCTGGACCTTCTCCAATTTCTCCACATCTTTCTTGAAATGTGGTACCCAGAACTGGAGATATACTCCAAGGATGCGTCTAGACTGGCAAGTTTTTCCGCAAAAGCATTTGCTTTTGCGGAAAAACTTGCCAGCTGTCTTC